TTCTTTCCTTGAATCCAGAAGTTGCAAGCTGAAAGTCCACTCGCTCTGCAATAAAGGATGTTGCAAGGGAATAAACCAAACAATGTAGACCAAGCTATGCAGTAAGGATGGACCACTGTTGAAAATGCGAATTTCTATATCTTTTCCTGAAAAAGGCCTCAGCAGGGCTCCTTTCCTGTTAAGATACAGATGCACATTGAACTTGTAGCTCTGCAACTGCACAAACTCTATGGTGATCAAATAAGAGAGGCTCTGCTGCTGGTAAAAAATGTAGTGAATGGTGGAGAGGTTGCCAGAGGCATCTGTAGCATTTCCTTCCTGGGTGAAATAATAGAGTCCCTGTCCCCGAGTGAAAAGGTAAATGCCTGTATTGATTTTCTGTGTGCTGAGAGTGAGGTAAGCTGGGGGCTCACTCTTCGATGTTAAACGTAAGGTGGTATTCCAGTAGCCTAGCTCCCCATTCAGCTCCCCAAGCCAAGCCTCATCAGTGTAAAAGTGGATGCTGGCCACTACCCTCTTCCTCAGATGCTGTGGAATATGGGCGACAGAGTAATTGTTCTGCAGAACATATGGGTTATAGACGGTGGACCAGACCCCTCTGCCTTTAACATCCAACAGTGTGTAGGCCACTTTTTGCGAGCTGACGGGTACGAGGCTCCAGGAAAGGCTGATGGTCCTATGGAAGACGCCGAGGACTTTGGAACGGGTGCTGAAAACGTGTAGCAGCGTGGGTTCCACTTTCAAGTCTAGCTGAAGGCTGACCCGAGGCCCTTGCTTCATGCGGAGGGAAGAAATATAGAACCCTCGGAGGGCATAATGCACAATCAGGTGATAGCTGAAGTAGGAGGTGCACACGGGGGGCAGCTCATCACTGCGGCAGTGAGCAGGGTGTGGGGAAACCGGACCACGTCTGGCGTGAAGGGGAAGGGCCATGGGGCTGCTCCATCGGCAACTGTAGCGGTAGCGCCAGCTTGAAGGGTTGGGACATGCACGGGCTGCCACTCACGGACAGGAAGCGTGAGAGGCCAAAGCAGGGAGAGAGACGAACGTCTGGGCCAAATACCTGGATGCTCAGATTGCAATGAAGGCATGCAGGCACTGTATATATATTTGAGTTTACAACTGTTGTCCTTAAGACCTACAAACCAGATGAACTGTTCCATGTCTTTAGGACAGCCCCCGCTCAACCGTTAGACTGGCTGCGAAGCCTAGTCCGTAACAAAAGAACAGGAGCCGCGTCGTGACTTCACAAGGCCACGTGTGCGGCTCCTTTAAAAGGGCGGGGAGCAATTCTCCTCAATTTGTAGACGTCAGCAGCATATCAGAGCGTGCCTAAGAAACAGGAAGCAGCTACAGAATTCGGATCACGTATACATGGAGATATAAGCAATGGCCAAGCAGAATATCGTGGGTCATTCATACAGATTGCACGTGACGCGATTTTAATTTGTGAAGGGACGGGCCAGTGAACGATAGCTAAAACGGCCTCCTTTTCTTTTACGCTCTGCAGTCTGATCCTTTGTGCATTTTCTTGGAAGTAAGTAAAACGCATTCGTTCTGGTAGGATTTATTCTCAAACAACTTTGCACGGAAGTGCAGCCTTTGTGCTGTGAAACCTCCCCTTTTATTACGGATGCCTTTTTAAGTGCATAACTGTTTTTGCAAATAATATAATTAGGCTTGTATTTTTATAATTAGGCTAATATAATTCGCGAGATGGTACCTGATCTGTCAAGAAAAGAAATCTTGCAAGTGGTATTAGTACAACGCCATGCATGCCTGCTCAAAAATCAACTGTATTGGGTTCAATGGGATTTTCTCCCAGGCGTGTGTATAATTTTGCAGCCGTTACATAAAATGAGATAATGAATAACTTCTTTGGTTTTTTTTAAAAATGGTTGGCTGGCTGCAAATTCAAATTAAGGCAAGGATTTTGTTTTGTTTTTTAAGTGATGGCAGTTGCATTGTGCATTGGTGAGCTTTTGAAGTATACGATCTTCATAAGACATCATTCCTTCCCCTTTGCTTGAGAGAATGTTTAACTTGGAGCTTAGATTGTCCTCACTATTCTAAAAGAAAATGCCTTGCAGTCTCCAAATATGATTTTACATGAAGTGTTTTAAAATAATCTCAGAGCCGGTATAGTGGGTCACTGCATGCATTTCATAAGGGCAAATGTGGATTTTTCAGTGGCACTTAGAGATATACTCAAGCAAGGTTGGATACTTTTCACAGTGGGTGGAAGTAAGCAATGTCTCTCTGAAGGATCTGTTTTGAGACAGGTGCCATTTAAAAGTGTGGTAGCAAGTTATAGATGACACCACATTATTCAAAATGGTACAGTCCAAAGCAGAGTTCCTGTGTGATCTCTCCCAGTTGGGCAATAGACAACAAACTGCCAAATGAGATTTATTGTAAAGAAGTGCTTACATTGGGTAAAATTAGGCCAATCTGCACTGATTGTGACTTTAGAAAAACAGATTGTAGTGGATGACTCACATTGCAATGCTATGCTATTATTTACTTGGTAGTAACCTCCACTGTGTAAACATGGAGGAAATTGTGCTTTTGGTGTGTTGCAACATTATGCAAAACGAACTCCATATTTGGAATTATTAGTAAAGGGTCTGAAAATAGAACTGCCAGTTCTGAAAAGTCTTTATACAAATGTATCAACACTTGAAATACTATGTGCAGGAAGTAGTGTAGCTGTAGAAAAAAGCAGCTAATATGAGCATTTTCTTTATGAGAAATAGAAAATGTATTTGTGTCTTCTTAGTTTATATGGGGAACAGCATAACCAAGGGTTATAACATTGGAACTATGCTGAGAGTGGATAGAAAAAGGTGTCCCCCACCCCGCTACTAAAGGGGTATGAAGCTAATGCTTCTAGGATTCTTTAAGAATATGCATGATACTTGGCCTTGTAAAATGCTTGCAGGAGGGAGAAGAGCATATTGGAAAATATGGCAGGCTGTACTCTCCTTGGCTCAAATAGCCTAGGAACTGCAAGGGCCACGAACATGTGATGCCTCTTTTGCACTCTGATACATCGCACAGGCTTTTTCCCTCACAACACCATGGAGGAGTTAAGGGAGGGCTCGTTGGAGCTAAGTAGCTCTTTTAGACACAACATGACCAAATTTTGCTGGAATTTGCTAGGAATTTTCTGCCTGATGTTGGGCTTTGAGATCCGCTGTTCAGGGTGCAGTTGCTTGCCACTTTCTTTCCCTCCAATGCCAGTTTCATTTCTGCTAACCCTTTGCTTTATCTGGAATTGTTCCGTAGCTAAGGAACAAAGGCTATCTAAACATGACCAAAATAAATCAGCAAATAAGTAAATAAAAAATATGCTAATTATCAGTAATGGACTCACAACTGCAGTGTTAATGGCCATGCTCATATCTTTTATTGGTTGTCACACATGATTCCCATTACTTAGCTGGAGCAGGGGCCTATCCAGTGTACATCAAGCAGTTCTGGTTTTTCCCTCCAGAGGGCACTTCAGCTAGAATACTTCCTGACCTTCCTGGTGTACTGCAACTGGTAAGAGATGATTAGCTGGTGAACTACTGACTAGTTTGTGGTGGGCTATCTGCAAAAACACTGTGGCAACAAATAGATACATTCCAGTCTGAGCAGGCATATTATTTCCGAGGTTGTTGAGCCTATCTACAAGCAAGTGCAGGCACTCCTGCTGTGAACACCCTCATTTGCTTTTATCCTTCAGGGGGTCCACGTGCAGCCTCTAAATCAAATGCTGCTTGCCTTGCCACCTCTGCCTGGGTCAGGGGACTGTTTACTTTGGTGTCAGGGTTTGTTTTGTTTTGTTGCAAATTTAGCTTGTCAAAGATTGTTCTATTCTTTTTAAAAAGACTCTTTTATAAACACCTCTTTTAAAAAGCAATTTATTCATATTGAAGAATAATTTATAAATAATTATGCATGCCATTTGTTAAAGGGATCTTTTGTCCATGAGGGAGTACTAATATTTAGTTCTGGAGTTTCAGAAGACTGCTCTCAGGCATTCAGGAGGCACTGTTGCAAGCCTTTAAGGACTTCTTTGACCTCAGGACAATTTCTCAAACCTCTACTCCAACCAAATACACTTACAGGCAGGTCCAGTTTCAACATGGCATTCCTCTGACACCCAAACCTCCTCCTGTTGTATTACTGGCTGCTTAGATAGCTTACCGCATGGGTCCTCAAACTCGGGCCCGCCATGCCCATTTATCCGGCCCGCCATAGAGGTTTTGGACTTGCCACACGTGCGGCAAGGCAGGGGCTTGCTCGTGCGGAGATCGTTTTGGACTCGCTCGACGAAAAGGATCCCCTTGCTCGCAAGCCGGCGCCTTGCTGCATGTGCACATGCGCCCTGGCCCGCCCACCCCCACACACACACCCCTGCCCTCACCGCCTTGGCGGCCCATGCCCATTGCCGGCACCTTTCAACTGGCCCCCTGTTAAAAAAAGTTTGAGGACCCCTGGCTTACTGGGTCTTTACTGCCTGCTTGCATAACTGTCTTCTGGCAAGCTCTTGGCATGGCACAACTGCCTGCTCCCTACTCCTGATATTCACCAGCCATGTAAGCTGGGAAAGACTGGCCATTAAGCCTCTCAGCTTTTTCCAGACATCATCCAGCAGACCTTATCCTTTCTCCCCAGGATCTTAAATGTCCACAGTCTAACTATGCCTTCCTGGGAGCTTTTTTCCACCCTGCTAGAATCCCCAGCTGATCAGAATTAAATTTACCTGCTGTAGGTTCCAACTAGCAATATTCAGAGCATCCCCCCTCCCCCCCCCCCCTCCGCCCTCCCCCCTCCCGAATATCACTAAGCAGCTGCTGCACAAACATTTTTCCCCAGTGAAACAAGGCCTCAGGCCTACTCAGACATACAGGCTTTTATTAACAACTGTGGACATCTGCTCTTATTCCCTAGGAGTTTTATTATAGGCCCTGCCATGGTGTCATGGCTTTTACTACAAAGAATAATGAAATGGGTTAGGCAACTGAGTACTTACTGTACTTATTTTGTACTTAAGACATGCTAGTAGTAAATGAGCTTGCCTAGTAGCACCCTAAATTTCTGTATATCTATATATCAGGTGTATATTCTTAAGCAAGAATACACTTGAGGATCTCATAACAGAGATTGATCTCTTTCCTGATGTTTCTGGCTAAAACTTACCTCATGGCAGTTTTGCCTGCTGGTTAAAGTCTCACTTGGGTCTTCATATAGCTATGAAGTTCATTGGGTGGCCTTTTGAGTAGTCACTCTTTCTGTCAGCCTTAACCACACTCACAGGTCTTTTGTGAGGATAAAATGGAAGGAAGAACCAGGTGTGCTCCTTGGTTCTGAGTTGGTTGTCCACCTTCTCACAAATTCTGATTTTGCATATATGGTCATCTCTGAATGACCATGGACCATTGTCTGTCGATTCATACATCATACAAACCTAAAGTTAACACATTCCATCACTTGACAACCACTTAACCATTATTTTGTGTGAAGTCTGAATTGAGCCTTAGGAGTGGGGTGCCGGCTGTTGCTGGCAGGATCAGATCATGGTAGTGGGAAAGCACTGCTATAAATACTCCCTGTGTTTAATATCTAAATAACTATGAGAGAACACCCTGTAGGGGAAAATCCTGAGTGCCAGTATGAATTCAATTAGATAAGATTTTGTTAAAGGTGTGCCTGTGGAAGTTCTCTTTGATGCAAATTGAACCATGTGTTTAGGCATGTCTGTCAGAGTAATTTCAGTATTTATGCTTCCTTAATACATGTATTAGTTAACTGAAAAGGCTCTCACATAGATAATAAACAGGAACATAAAAATAAAAAAGGATGCATACACACTATTCCATATTACCTCTGTAATTCATTGAGTCAAGGGCTGGATCACTCATTCATATGAATGAAGAGTCTCATGTGAAACACCCCTCATTTCACAAACATGCACATATCCAGTATACATTTCGGGGAGCTTCCAACATGGTACTATCCAGATGCCAATGGCCATGTAGGCTAGGATGATGGGAGTTGCAGTTCTATAAAACCTTTCTAAGACAAACATTTGGCTTACCCATGTGATCTGACTTACATACAAGTTTGACTTAAGGATGTTCTCAGGAATGGCACTCATCTGTTTCCAGCCCAGGAACTACTTGTATTCCATACTGGTTTGTTTTCATATCCCACCATTCCCAGATGGAGTCCAACAAAGAACCCCAACATCAAGGCACTTTTGAATGTCAGCTATGTGGATTAACTGCCCCCTACAGCTATTATGGAAATAAACCCCTGAATGTCTACTCTGTTACGTAAGTATACTTTCCATTCCATGGATCATTGACCACCTGCTACTTGGAGTAGAAACATAGAGAGTGAGTCAGAAGGGGTCTCCTGGGCCATCTAGTCTGACCCTCGGCTCCAGCCCACTCCGCTCATGACATGCCTACCATAGTATTATGAGTATAGTGTTATCCTCAGCATGGCAAGCAAAGCCCTTGAATGACCATGCAAAGTGGCTATGAAACCTCAACTTCAGTGTCTCCCAGAAAACTTTTGTAGGGTGAATTTCGATGGGGAATAGCAGCAAGCAGGTTACAGATCTCCTGCACCTCTGATAATGGTATCCCCATTTCTACCCCACTTCATTGCAGAGAAGGGGAGGCCAGAGTTCCCAGTTCTGTGCTTGGTGGCAAAGGGGTAACTAGGCCCAGAATACTTGCAGGTTCTTAATTTCTAAATCAGGATCACTGAATCTCTGTTAGCCCGAGGACTGAATTCAGTTTGAGAACCTCTTCGCTATTTTCCAGTGGTGTGATTGATCAAAGACAAAAGGAATGGCCCCAAATATCATGTTGTACGTGAAAGCTCTTACTGCCATTTCAACCTTTTAGAATAGGGGAAAACTGCACAAAAGCTGTTGCTGTTAGTCATGAAGTTGTGTCCGACCCATCACGACCCCATAGACAACATTCCTCCAGGCCTTCCTGTCCTCCACCATCCCCCAGAGTCCACTTAAGCTCACACCAACTGCTTCAGTGACTCCATCCAGCCACCTCATCCTCTGCTGTCCCCTTCTTCTTTTGCCATCTATTGTTCCCAGCATTAGGCTTTTCTCCAGGGAGTCCTTCCTTCTCAATAGGTGGCCAAAGTATTTGAGTTTCATCTTCAATATCTGGCCTTCTAAAGAGCAGTCAGGGTTGATCTCCTCTAGGACTGGCCGGTTTGATCGCCTTGCGGTCCAAGGGACTCGCAGGAGTCTCCTCCAGCACCACAATTCAAAGGCCTCAATTCTTCGGTGCTCAGCCTTCCTTATGGTCCAGCTTTCACAGCCATACATTGCAATTGGGAAAACCATAGCCTTGACTATATGCACTTTTGTTGGCAGGGTGATGTCTCTGCTTTTTAGTATGCTGTCTAGATTTGCCATAGCTTTCTTCCCCAGGAGCAAGCGTCTTTTAATTTCTTGGCTGCAGTCCTCGTCCGCGTTGATCTTGGAGCCCAGGAAAATACAATCTGTCACTACCTCCATTTCTTCCCCATCTATTTGCCAGGAAGTGAGAGGACCGGATGCCATGATCTTGGGAACCACCAAATTATGTGGTTTGGTTTGAAGTGGGGGAGGGGGTGGGGGAAGGGGCTATGGCCATTTGGGGAACCCAGAAAAGCTGGACTGGGACCCTGAGTAGGTTAGATTTGGCTCATAAGACTGAATGTCACCTAAAGGATAAAAGATTCTTGCTGCAGCAGCTTACAGATGAACAAGCTGATGGCCTCTTCACACACTATATTTACAGGAATGCAGCCAGAAATACAATGCATAGCTATGGCTAGCGGGATTTGAATAGACATACATCATGTTTTCATGACAGCTAAGACTAGCCATGTCTTTTGGCTGAGTGAAAACATATTGACCAATCCAAGTGTGTTGCTGGGTTGCCTGTGAAACAGTTTAACTCTTACAGGTCTCCCTCCCAAAAAGGTTGCTGGCAATTGGTGAGGGCATCCAAGCATTCTCTGCTGGAGATTTGCACTATTACATTCCCCAGAGTTCCCTGGGAAAGAAAATGAAGAGTGTCAATTCTAAATTTGTAATCTAGCTATAATCTGCAGATGCAGGAACAATGTATGAGGCAGTTTACTCCTGGCATGAGCTGAATTAAATTTCTCAACAGCCTGATGTTTAAGGATATCCACCTTACTATCTCTAGAGGGAAAATTAATTTTATTGGTCAGCAGCTCAACCAAATCTTCCCTTTGTCTTACCACAGACCCTTAACTGGTTTGCTGCAGTGTCCCAGAGTCATGGGTTTCAGGGTGACGATCTACTTGGGTTACTGGGATCACTGACTGGCGACCTTAGTGGGTGCCTGCCAAAAGAAGTGCAGGGAGTGGGGAGCAAGGCACAGTGGCTTCTTTGGAACACAAGAATTACCCTTTGGAAATGCCAGCTTTTTCCTGGAGAGGTTGTAAAGCAGAGTGGTGTGGAAGGAGGGGATGGGGGAAGAAAGCATTGCAAGAAGTAGTAATGTGATTTAAGGCAGTCTTTCCCAAACATATGATAGTCAAGGCACCCTTTGTAAGTTAAATTGGAAGCATTTTTCACTTATATCCCCAAAAACATTCCCTTACGCGGTTTGACCCTGATTATGTGTAACTGGCAGAAAGTTCAGCAGTGCTCAATGAGGCTCACTCAGCATGCATCAGTGCTGCAGCCCAAGTGTAGCAACTACACACTGTCAGAGGGTGCCAGCCTTGGCTTCTGTGCAGGGAACTCTTCTGGACACACCTGAGGCAGGTAATTCTGCTGCCAAATGGCAACATGGCCTACAGCCAGGGGATGCTGATTGGAAAAAGGCCAACACAGTGAATGGGGAGGAGGCATGATGTGCAGGCTTTCTTGTAAGTGGACAACATGAGCTTCTGGCACATTTCTTTGGCATACTAGGATACTCTGAAACACAGACTGGGTATAATCACACTCGGGGTAAGTGCTATTATTTCCTACTGCCAGCCCCATTTCCTCCTGACTAATTGTTGGGAGACACACACAAAAACATAGACACAGAGCAAGTCAGTAGGGGTCTCCTGGGCCATCTAGTCTGATGCTCCAGCTGGCTCCACTCATGACATGCGTACCATGTGCACGCCCAGCCTATCCTTGAACATTCTCACTGTTGGGCTTCGGCCACCTTCCATGGAAGCCCATTCCATACCCTTGGGATCCTAACAGTCAGGAAGTACTTCCAGGCATCCAAATTTAACCTTGGTTCCCGGGACTTTGCTCCATTGGAACACATCCTGCCCTTCTCTGCAGGGGAGAACAGGTGTCTGCCCACCTCCACGTGACACTCCCTCATGTACCTATGTTTTGCCAACAGATCCTCTCTGAGTCTCCTCTTTTCCTGATCGAAAAGACCCGGTTCCCTCAGTCTCTCCTCATATGACTTTCCTTGCAATCTGGCTTCCATTCCTGTGGCTTTATGCTGCACCAATTCTAACTTAGCTATATTCTTCCTGTAATGTGGAGCCCAGAACTGAACACAGTACTCCAGTTGCGGGCGCACCAGGGTCATATAGAGTGGTAGCAATACCTCTCTCAATCTAGAAGCCACACTTCTGGCTATGCAACCAAGGGTGGCGTTCGCCCTCTTGACCACCGCATCACACTGCTGTCTCATGTTTAGCCTGCAGTCAACCAGTACCCCGAGGTCCCTTTCACAAGTGCTGCTCTCCAGTCACTTGTCACCTAACCTGTACTTATGACACCCATTCCTATTCCCCAAGTGCAAGACCTTGCACTTATCCGCATTTAATGCCATCCTGTTGTCCCCTACCCACTTCCATAACCTGCTCAAATCCTTCTGGATCCAGAGTACCTGCTCCTCAGTTGTGGCCACCACCCCTATTTTAGTATCATCTGTGAATTTGATCAGCAGACTTGTCACCCCCTCTTCCAGGTCATTAATGAAAAGATTGAACAGGATCAGGCCCAGGACAGAGCCCTAGAGGTCCCCACTTGTCACTGCCCGCCATCCTGATTCCCCACTAATATTTACCCACTGCTTTCGGTCCGTCAACCATGCCCTCATCCATCAGACAGTGCATTGGTCTATCCCAAAACTTCTCAATGGGAGGAGGTGGGAGGTGGGGCCATAGCCAGCTCTGGGCAGAGCCAAAGCCTGGTGGATGGTCTCCTCTTCTGCTGCACCCTTTTATCTCCTCCCCTTTTCCTACCCATGCGGTGGGCTGCCAGAGAAGGGACAGAGCAAGAATGGACCAGCAAGCATTGTTCAAGCTCATCAAGGTCCCCAATTTTCCACCCTGATGCTAGTTTTACCTTGTTTGTGTTCCTAAACATGAACATTTCCCCTCTCTGCCCCAAACAGAAAAAAATTGCATATTTTCAAAGATGAAAAATGTTCAGCTTTCCAAGCATGCATCCCAGATGCATATTATTCCCCTCTTTAGGCTATAGTTTGAAAATGTTATTTGATAGGGGGCATCCACATTCTTGAAGCAAATTCAAGTTCAGTCAATTGTGAAAAATTATTAAGAATCATTTGGAGAAGTAAATGGAATATGTTTGCATAATATGTGAACAGAAACAAAATTCCTGTACCTTTCCTGGACAGATTGCTTTTGCCAGAGGCTATGTGCAGGAGGCTATTGAGATTAGGCCAGTCCACCCCTGGATTAGAGCAGCTTTGGACAGCATTGTGTTTAATAGTGGTGTGTGGGAGCCATCATAATATGTATCTAAGTTCAACATCCATTTCTGTATGCACTAAGCCATCTTTGCACCCCAGTTCCCAGCACATGAAGGATGAAGCAATAGCAGAGATTAGGGCATTGGGACTGAGGAAGCCAAGACTCGGTCAAGGAGATGGCAGATATCTCCTTGAGAGAAGAATGGTTCCAACCACCTTCTAACTACCTGTCTCAACAGGTCTAGTTTTTATTGAGTTTGTTTCAGATGTCTAACTGTTTTAATGCTTGCATATTGGAATTTTCCATAGTAATTTATTATATCAGTATTTGCAGTATCATTTTATTATTGTACTTATGATAACATTATTGTATACTGCCAAGAAAGATTCAGCTATTAGAAATTAATATGAAATGAAATGAACAGAAGTTAAGTTACATTATGAAATCATTGAACATCCCCTTCCCTGGCATAGTCCATGGTCTGTTTTAGTGTTATGTGACAGTTGGTTAACCCTCACATAAGCCATGCTCACCAGGTTGGCATGGCATGGGATGGCATGCATATTCAACCTGGTGCCTACAGATCTGACCCCAGCTGGTGTTTCTGAAGATGGTGTGAACACTACAGCTAGTTCAGGATATGGCTGCCTGACTGCTAGCTGAAAGAAGGTGCATTGTGCCAGCGCTTTGGCAGCTGGACCAGGTACCTGGCACCAGGCATATTTCTGAGCTCAGTTCCAAAGACTGGTTTGCCCTTTAATGGCTCACAGCCAGGGTATACCACACGTGCTTGCCAATACTTCAAGAGACTCAGTAGCAATTCTTAACTGAGTTCCTTTGCAATCAGAAGTCTTACAGGCACCTGCCCGGGGAGAATCTTTTCGGGGGGGGGGGGCAGCTCTTCACTGGTACAGCCCACCTTTGCAATATACTCCCCAAAAGGGCATGCCTGCACTGAATCTGTCATCTTTTTGGCACCAACAAGAGGTCTTTGTATTTTGCCAAGGTTTTAAGACTTTTAGTCTGCTCTATTTTGCTTTTGCTTTGATAGTGCTGCTGTTCTTAGCTTATTTTCATCAGGAATTACTTGTTATATGGTGTTTCCAATATTTTGCCCCTGATAATGTTCCTGAAGGCCAGGTAAAACTCCAAACCAGTCCATCAGTCAGAATGCCCTCCTTCAGCATTCAGTTCAGCCCTTGATTCTGAGGACGCCACCTGCCCCCGCCTGCCCCATGTTGCCTCTCAGCCACTCCCTCCTGTGCAGGCAGGAATCCGGGCGAAGCCATGTAAACCGAGGAACTTGGTAGCTCCCTCCCCATATTCTGCTCCTCAACTGCTCGCTTTCACTTTCCCAGCTCATGGGTTGTCCCTCAGAATTGGTGGTTGATGTCCATAAGGAACCAGCTCTGCCAAAACGCCTATGATAACTCACTCCAAGGGAGAGGCTGGAGGGTGAAGGCTCCTGAGCCCATTGCCTTTGTCCTGGAGGGACCAGCTGAGCGGCCAGAGCAGGAGAATGTTCTGTGCAAGCCTTTGCCAGATAGTGGGGCGTGCTTGCCTTTGTGGGTCACATTGTCCTGCTTTGAAAGCTCTGCCTCCAGACCTGGTCTTCAGCCATTTATTCAGTACAGATTGGCAAATCCCTGTTGGGCATTTGTTGATTACCTGGGCTTCAGAATTAGGCATGGGAATGAATTGCTTAGAAATAGGAATTGCTGGTGTTGTACCTTTAAAATGTGGAATCATTCTTTCCTAGTCTCCTGGAAGAATGCTATGTCATGAAGGATCCATTCACCTCTGACAAGGGCAAATTCCTTTTACTTGGATCTCGGTGTAGTTTGTGTTGCAAGCGTGTGTGCGTTGGCACAGTAAGTAGCATGTGATGCCTGCTGCATTTATATCTCCATGGTTAGTTTCATAGGCAGTGACCTAGTGACAGAACATCAAGCTGGGTGAAAGAGGAGCCTTTTTCTCACCCTCGTCTCACAACGACCTTATATGACCTTCTGCAAAATAAAGTTCCATAGTACAGGCTCTGACTTTTTTCTTTTTAAAGATCTGTGTAAGCCTAGATCCACAGGCTTCTGCACTGAGCATTCTCCTGACAGGCCCTTTCAGGCCATAGGCTCTGGTTGTGCTTGCATGTAGTGGGAAGTCAAGAAATCCTTGCTGGACAAACTAGGATATGCAGGAACAGCATGAGGGTTTTATGCATGATATTTGCTTCTACTTCACTCCTCCTTTCGCACAAGCATAAAATCAAGCCAGGATCTTAAACAGTTTTCCATTGCTTGCCATGATTATATTAAACTATATATATAGAAAGTGCTCCCAAACCAGGCAGGATCAGAAGCCAGCTTTATGGCAGGATATGACACCTGCAAATCATGGTTGCTTTGAAAGCCCTTTTCCATTGTTCTTGAGTCACAGATAGTGGGGCTGTTTGCATGTAATAACCCATTGATCAACAAACCAAAGAGTTATCTTGCAAGAGTGGGAGAAAGTTTAAGAAGAGTAGAAGAGTTACTTCTGGTTTTACTCCACAACCCTCAATACAATCCTTTCTTGGTTATGGAGTGTGATATCAGAACCCAAACAGCTAGGTTATTTAAGGGCTAAACAATCCAACAACAAATCATGGGTTGACCTATTTAAACATATGGGTTCTTGTTAGAGCAGAACAAAGTCATTAGGAAACTATATTTAAATGCTGAATCCTGCATTTTTTACCACTTGTACAAAGGGAGGAGCAAAGTGGCACGAAAGGGGCTACATACAAGTGCATGCAGGTCATACATATACTGGCTTATTAAGCCAGGGTTGCAAGCTTGGCAGAGGAAGGCAGAAGAAGAAAAGGAAGATCAAAGACATAGATTGCCCTGTAAAGGAAGCCACAGGCTTGAATTTAGAACAGTTAAGCAGGGGTGTCACGCATAGGACATTTTGGAGGCCTTTCACTTATAAAATCATCCTAAATTGGAGACAACTTGACAGCACATAATTATAACAACAAGCTTAGCATGACATGAATTGGGACTGTATGCAAGTCCTCTGCCCAGCTGTTCTGCCTTTCTGCAGAAGGTGCATTATTAAATCTGTCATTTCACTTATGAAATGATCTTTCATCTTCAGCTGTTGAAATGTTTGTGAATAAGCCGATATATCCATCTAACTACCTGCATTCTGAGTGCTTGTGAGGCAGTCACTAATACCAGGTTACTCAGTGCAAAACAGCTGTGGATTAAAACTGCTAATCAGAACACGATACAGGATCTAATGCCTAAATCATTCAGAAGACTGCTATGCAATCAAATGATTACACACCCCTCAGTTCCAGCCAATCTTTGGGCAAGGAATGTATGCATCTGGCTCTGGGAACACCATGAAACATTTCCAGACTGCTGTGCGTATGAGCTATTTCAGCTTTGTTGGGACAGATCATGTGCCTCTTGAGAGCTGTAGTAACTGCTAATGCACTAAATAAATCCAGGAGATGTTCCGTACACAGGACATGGCGATGTACAATACAATTTTTCTGTATTGTCCTCATGTAAAATCTGGAGCGCTGGCAATTACGGAGGCTTGGACAGGAAATGGAAGTGTCTCCTTGCATTCCAACCAACATGTCAGTAAACTTGTGTACTAATTCTGTATCTGTACTAAAAAGAAGCACATTGCTTTGTGCCATTTTAATTAGCATACCTTCTCCAAAGATTACCAAGAGCTGCACTTTCATTGAGTCATTAAGAATTCCCTGTTAATAACCTGGGTGCTCTATTTCCATGCTGTTTTCTATTCCATCCTTTGGGAGAATAAATATTTAAACAATGTAAGTCCTAACAGAGGCAGAAGAGATTAAGAAGAGATGGCAAGATTACACAGAAGAACTATACAAGAAAGAGCTTAACATCCCTGATAACCACAATGGGGTGGTCACTGGCCTCAATCCAGACCTCCTGGAATATGAAGTCAAATGGGCCTTAGGAAGCCTGAGCAACAACAAAGCTAGTGGAGGCGACAATATTCCAGCTGAGTTATTCAAAATCTTAAAAGACGATGCAGTAAAAGTGCTACACTCAATATGCCAGCAAATTTGGAAAACTCAACAGTGGCCACAAGATTGGAAAAGGTCAGTTTACAGTCCAATTCCAAAGAAGGGCAATGCCAAAGAATGTTCAAACTACCACACCATTGCACTCATTTCACATGCTAGCAAAGTTATGCTCAGAATCCTACAAGCTAGGCTCCTGCAGTATGTGGACGAAGAACTACCAGAAGTACAGGCAGGATTTCGAAGAGGGAGAGGAACTAGAGCTCAAATAGCCAAAATACGCTGGATCATGGAGAAAGCTAGGGAGTTCCAGAAAAAGATCTACTTCTGCTTCATTGACTATGCTAAAGCCTTTGATTGTGAGGATCACAACAAATTGTGGCAAGTTCTTAAAGAGATGAGAGTACCTGACCATCTTATTTGTCTCTTGAGAAACCTATATATGGGTCAAGAAGCAACAGTTACAACTGGGCACGGGACCACTGATTGGTTCAAAATTGAGAAAGGAGTTTGGCAAGGCTGTATACTGTTGCCCTGCCTATTTAACTTATATGCAGAGCACATCATGAGAAAGGAGGGCCTAGATGAATCACCAGCTGGAATTAAGATTGCTGAGAGAAATATCAACAACCTCAGATATGCAGATGATTCCTGGCAAATAGATGGGGAAGAAATGGAGGTAGTGACATTTTATTTTCCTGGGCTCCAAGATCACCACAGATGGGGACTGCAGCCAAGAAATTAAAGGACACTTGCTCCTGGAGAGGAAAGCTATGGCAAATCTAGATAGCATACTAAAAAGCAGAGACATCATCCTGCCAACAAAAGTGTGTATAGTCAAGGCTATGGTTTTCCCAGTTGCAATGTATGGCTGTGAAAGTTGGACCATAAAGAAGGCTGAGCGCCGAAGAATTGAGACCTTTGAATTGTGGTGCTGGAGGAGACTCCTGTGAATCCCTTGGACTTCAAATGGCTAGAAACCTGCTTTTGCTTTTTGGCCCAAAAGAGCTATGTGTAGTGAATGGAGACCTGTGCTTTGGCAGATTGCAGGAATCTTTTCAAGAGTGCATGGAAGCTACAAAACAACCTAAACTCTAGACAGAACCTGGCAGGAGGACTAACAGGATTGGTCACCTTTGTTGAGCAGATCAAGGATGTTTTGGAGCATTCCTTAAATAGCTGGGAGATCCCAAATGGAGCTGGAGGTGTGCCGGAACTGACTGGTTGCCCAGTAGAAGAACTGACCATGAATCTGGGAGGTACATAGACACACCTGGAGTGGACAAACAAAGTTCAGTTCTGTGGTTGTGCATAGATTCAACAGAGTGAGGGAAGAGAGGTGGCCGGTCTTCCCCATGGTCCATGAAGCCATTCATTCCATTACTGAAAAGAGAGAGAGAGAACAGTTCAATTCTGGCAGTTCTTTTGCAGCTGGTGGGGGGAGTCCAAGCCCTAATATTATTTAATAATTCCTTGATATAATCTGTTACTGGGCATGCGGAGAATAGAAAATGCAAGGATGTTTTGACTGGCTGGATGATGTAAAAGTATTTTGAATGGCTGTGTAAATTTGCTTCCATAGATGACTATATATATATTGGCTGTAATCCGGGTAGGCTAGTTATTTCAGCTTAAGTTAGCCATTGCTTTCAGTAGCTCATAAGAGAATGTTTAATCAAAGGAATGTTAGTCACAATTCAGTGTCACTGAAAGCATATTTGATTCTGTAAGAAGATTGAGTCCATAAATGTAAAAACCTATACTAAAGAGTAGGTATTCAAGTTTATATTATTAATTTGTTTTCTTTTTCAGGACTGTAGCCTTTTCTACTCAAAAAGATTCTGCCTTCCCTGTGTTAACTCACACTTGAAGGACTTTCCTTTAGAAATACAGCAAGATTTGGAAAAGAAAACACATTCCAAAGCCCAGTCTTCAAAAAAAGGGGATTCCAAGGATTCAAAGACAAAGTAGATTATTTTGACTCAAGCTTCAAGATGTGTTTTATAATTAAAAATAATAATAAATAGCTCTTCTAGAACCATTTGTGTAAGAAGTTTCAATTATTCAATTAAAGTTGCAATTTTGTAAATACTTGCCTGTTAGAATCCTATTGAACTTTGTAGGAAATGCTTCAGAAAAGACATGCAAAGAATTGCATTATAAACAAGAAAAGCAAATCAAACAAACCAGTTTTCCCTATTTAAACTGACTGATTTGTAAAACAAAATAGGATGGAATTTAAAAATCAGCGGAACGAGATCAAACTCATATTGGCATATGTATGATAAATTAATATTTAGAGTGGTTCTACCTTGTTTGTTTCACAGACAGTTCATTCCTCTGCATGCACAGTGGAATTTTGTGCATATACATCAGCGCTCGTGTTGTGCTCCTTTTTGATTGATTGATTGATTGATTGATTGATTAAAATTTTGTCACTGACGTCTCGGGATGGTTCACAATAACAGCAATAAAATAAGATAAATAAAAGTAGCACAGAATCCAATAAGATACAGAAACCACAAATTAAGACAATTAGCAATTAAAATAGTGGGAAAATAAAAAGGTTTTCACCTGGTGCCAAAAGGAAAGAAGTGTTGGCACCAGGCGAACCTCTCCGGAGAGCATGTTTCACAGTCGGGGTGCCACCGCAGAGAAGGTAGCCACCCTCCTAATCTCTTTCATGGAGGGCTCCCAAAGAAGGACATCTGCCTCATATCTCAAGGGACGGGATCATTGTTCTTTGAAAATATGAGGGAGCACATCTGGTTCCTGCCCCTGCACAACAATCATTTTTACAAAACATGATCCTTGGAATTTCATTGGTCTTGGAGTATTATAAAATGCAAGTTATACCCCAGTTGGTTAATAACAATCTTCAGCAAAGTGAACCTTTCAGAAGCTTGTTCTGCAAATAGTGAGTCTCAAGGTGTATCTCAATCTGTGCAAGCCATGTAGATCTGCCTGCAAGTTTCACTCATTCAACAAAATATATTTCACTACAGCTTTAGGAGTCTCACTTGAAATAAGAGGATGAACAATTTTAACCTAAAGTGAACAAACATCCTAAAATCAGTCTATTGAAGAAGATCATAAAATTCCATTTATATCTAACTATGCTTTAAGTGCAGTTTCTTGTATGTTGATTTGTTGCAGCAAGACAGATTGGGACTTGGACTGCTTCTGTACAAGATATATTGCTACATGCTTCTCTTTCCTGGTTTCCATCCTCGCAGCATATTTATTTCTGTACTACCTAGAGCTCTCTGAGTGGTTTACAATAAAGTATGAAAACAAGATAACAATAGATACAACATTAACAAGAATTAAAAAATAATTTAAAATAGCATAAAAACTTTAAAAGACAATAAATAAAATAAAAAAGACAATAAAAAGATTCATCCAAGGATGAAAAACACTTGGAAACTTTTGTCAGGCCCCTGAATGAGCAGGGAGGCCTTTAAAGGCCAGTGCAAAGAGGGCTGTTTTAACCTGGTGCCAAAAAGATGACAAATTTGGCACCAGGGAGGTTGTTCCAAAGATGGGGGCAACCACAGAAAAGGCCCTTCCCATAGCCTGCCTCATATCCGAGATGTTTGAGCATCTTCTGAACCTCTGGAGGGGTTGGCACTCAGAGGAAGGCCCAAGAGGTTGAGCGTAGTGTCTGGGTAGATGAGGGTTAGGAGTGATGCTCGAACAGGTACTGCGGTCGCAAGCCATGTAGAGCTTTACAGGTTAAGACAGCACCTTGAATAGGACCAGAAGCATAAATGTAGCCAATGCATGTGGGCCAGAACTGGTCTTCTATGTTCAGACCTTTGGTCCCCAGCTATTAACCTGGCTGCTGCATTCTGCACCAGCTGCACCTTCTGTACTGCCTTCGAGGGCAGCCCCATGTAGAGCTTGTTGCAATAATTAAATTTAGAGAGCATAGTTTACTCGAGACAGGCTGTTGCTGTCTAGATAGGGACACAGCCGGGCCAGAAGCTGAAGCTGGTAGTTGGCATTTCAAGCCTCCAACGCTACCTGAGCCTCAAGTGACAAAGATGGATCAAGGAGCACCCCCAAGGTATGACCATGGACACCACAGATAGGAAGCATGTGCGGTCTTCACTAGGCTATCCTGAGCATCCTCACCTGGTAAGTATTTTTTACACTCTTTAAAAATACTTTGGCAGACTTTGGGTTTTCCTGAGTCTGCTGATGCATCCCTCTTGGGTGTGGACTGTTGCTTGGAAAGCTGAGCTCACAGTATTTAGAAAAATGGTAGTGGGGTGACCAGCTCACTGTTTTATTTGATCAATCAGGCCTTCCTCCATAGTGCCCCAGTGAATATCCTCTTCTACCTATCCCCCCCCCCCCCCAAGCATGCTGTGTTCTCATTGGACTAAGAACCACCTTCTTGACTTTATGGATTCTGGAGGCTTGTGGGGGGCATACTTCTGCAACCCCCTGGGATACTCTGGCTGATTGATCCCCCTCTGTGAGTATGTAAGTCGCAGCACCTAGCCTGGACATCCGAAACAGAAGAGATAAGGCAGATCTCACAGGAAATCACTGCAGCACATCCTTGGGTCTCTGTGTTGCCAGATCCGGTGGTGGAGGTGGTAGTGCACACAAAAAAGTTATAATGAAAGGCAGGAGCTCCTGCCCTTCTTGTGGACTTGGGACTTCTTGAAGAAAAACAGGTTTTTAAGTTTTTAAAAATGCCATGAGTAAGTGGATGGAGAATGTTGCTTCTCCATGCCAGTAAGTGTTAGATTTAAGCTGGAAGAAGCAATATAAGTAGCAATATAAGTAGAATGACCTTCATTACAACCTGATAAGTATGGTTGAATTTTAACTGGGATGAAAACCACATGTCTGGCCTGCAGTGTTAATAGTAGTAATATTGTACCGCTCCTGTATACTGCTGCTTGCTCTCCAACTTCTAAAGTGGGCATATTAATGACTCACATTGCAGGGTTGTTATACATTACTATCTCAGCTCAGCCTGAAATGCTTGGGGGGAAAAAAACCAAAATACAACATTATATAGTTGTTATAAGTTACTCCTCCACCTTCAGATCAACCTGCAAGTGGAGTTTAATATCTGTGGCATTCTTGTAAACTATGCTAAGCTTGACTTCCGTATCCAATTGAACTGTGAACTGCAGAGCTTTGATGGGCCACTTTCTCCCAGCCATAGTCCTTTACAACTTGCAATATTAGTAGAACTATTTTTAAGTGTTCACATTAAATAAGAACTGAGTTAGAAAGAACAGGAACTCACCTTTGGGTTGTATGTTTTATGGGTTGGGGGACATACTGGTAACTAAACCTAAATACATTACAATCTTGGATTTCTTTGTTCTCTACACGCAGCTTTTATTTCTATCCCTAGGACATTTAAAAATAGCATCTCAGTTTGAACCAGGAAATGGCCTCTCCAGGCAGTGAGAGTGCCCTCTCTACCTTTTTATCATTTCTTGATTGATTCTCCTTTTCCAGCCACTCTGTTGTATGACACCTTGTCCACAGTTTTCCATCTCAGACAATAAGCATTCCATAACCACAGAACACATCGGCCATGTTCACGTCAGGCAGATAATCCTGTACTGTTTCCACTGTGTGCATTTTTGGTGCAGATATGCTTGTAAGATGAACAGGCTTCTCCTGGTAAGTCTCCTCCTGTACGCCATTGTTCTTCCCCCTCATTCCTTCAGTTGGAATCCCAAGAGGAACTGCATGGAAGAACAAGGCCCTCACCTTTGACAGCCACACTCATGAGCCAAGTTTGGCTTGCCATGGCTGTCAAGCAGTCTTTGCTGTATAAACCAAGCTCATGCCAGAGAAGATGAGGGAACTGGTCAACACTCCCCTTCCTGCTCTAGAGGGGATCACTTGAGGAGGAGTGGATTGTCCAATCCACTGCAAGACAAGGGGAGGGGGGAATCAGTTGAGCAGTACCGTAGAAAGGAGCTGTGCCTGCCTCCAGATTCCCCACCACTCTCATGTAGGCAGCAGGGCAAGCAGCAGCTGGGTGGCAGCGTCTTCACCTACGTGGGGGTTTGGAGCACCTCAACCGCTGCTGCCTTTCTCATGTGGGCAGCACTGCAAGCAGCAAGTGGGCTGCAGGAGCCATGGCAGTACCTGTTGGGAGCTGTGCACTGCAGTGATCCCTCCAGAGCTACACTGTTTTAGCTCTGGCTTGCCAAAGAGGCACCCCCATCAGAACAGCTGGGGGTGAGGGGGAGGCAACCCTGGCATCTTTTCTGTAGCTCTGCCAGCACTGCTTCCTGCTCAGCTTCATGCAGTAGCATGTGTGTGGGGATGCACAGGACCCAACCAGGCTTCACCACCCAGCAGCTGCTTCTCACCCTGCTGCTCAAGTGAGAAGGTTCTGATGCAGCATGTGGCCCCCAAATGAGTAGCAAGCAGCTCGTCAGGCAGCTCTCTGGTTCTGGCTTTGGTACCATGATGCTTTCCAGATTGGGCAGTGTGACCAAGGAAACCATAGAACAGACTGCTGTTTCTGTCTGTGGTTTCTCAGAAACAAACATACAACTCTGAAATACTGTGAAAGGGTTTGGACAACACAACAGACTGACAAAGGTAAAAAAAATCACCATTGCCTACTCAGTGTTCACCAGGCTTTTTGTATTTTTGCAAAACTTGGGTTTCTGCTGCTCTGTCCATACCTCCTGTTTTTGCACTGCATAAGTGGTGTCATTTTGGCTTCATCAGTAACAGTACTTTAAATTGAATAACAATTAAAATATTATGATCCAAGGGTGCTATGGAATCACTGTACTTCATTCACTCACATTTTAGAGGGTGTTCACACAACACTATCACCTATTTGCAGTCCTTTCATTCTTCCGCTCACTCCTGTACTGCTTCCATTTTTCTCTCAACAGAAAAATGTGCCTCTCTGAGAAATAGAGAAGACTAATAGAACTTTTATACATTTTGATGCCTTTAGCAGGCAGATAAATCTAACCCTACTCAAAATATGAAAGAGTGACAAAGAACAACAAAGACCGTGGCCATCTCCCCACC